TGAATGACTGCCTGTTTAAAAAAGCCTCTAAAAAAGCGCCCTCTACTATGAGGCAGGAGAACTGCATGCCTCATCTAGTCTGTCTTTTTAGGCATTCGAGCAGAGTTAAGCAAGGGTTAAAAGCCTAAAAAATCCCGACATAGTTGAGGCACGCAGTTCTCCTGCCTCATAGTAGAGGGCACATTTTTTAGAGACTTCAACTCTGTCATTCTGATTAAATCTGCAGCATCACGCTCACTCTTCCTCCTCTCTTTCTCACGTTTCTGATGCCCTCCACCCCCCCAAGCTCCCTCTTTTCTTTCAAATTTCCTTTTTTCTTTAATAAATGCAATGCTCAGGCATTCTCTCCTCTCCCATGACACCCCACTGACTAAAGCACTTTCTTTCGCCTGCCTGAGCTTGCGGCAGCCCGCCTGAGCTCTGCTGTGAGCACAGGCAGGCGAAAGAAAGTGCTTTAGGCTCAGGCGGGCGAAAGAAAGTGCTTCATTGACTAAAGCACTTTCTTTCACTCACCTAAGCTTGCAGCAGCCCGCCTGAGCTCTGCCGCGAGCACAGGTTGGCGAAAGAAATTGCTTTAGGCTCAGGTGGGCGAAAGAAAATGCCAGTGGGGTGTCGGAGGAGAGCACTGCCTCACCAGCCATAAACCTCACCGCATGTCACTGCTGCTAACTATAGGGGGCAGTGCTCGTATCGTTCCAAGGCCATTGAACCAGCGCTGTCTGAAGACATTTCTGTGGTCATGTGGCCATCTTAACATCATCTGTGCTGTTACCTTATCACCAAAGTTATCAAATTTATCTATGCCCATTTACTTGCTTTCAAACTGCTAGATTGGCAGCAACCAGGGAGAGAATGGAAGCTCACCCCGTCATGTGGTGCTCGTCTTTAACTTGGACTGTCAGCTTTCCAGCTGAAAAACCCAGCGTCTTAACTGCTGAGCCATTGCACCACCCTCAATTTTGTGATATGGCCCCATTTATTTTGTCTCTTCCCTGACAATGCAGAACTCATCCTAAAAACATTAGATGAGCCCTCTACTATCCAATGCTTGCCCACCCCAGTATATAATTTGTGTATCAAGGAGTCTTCTCTTGCTTGTGCCACTAGTAGATAGGGTAGTATGTCTTGCTTAAAGTGTTTGAGTCACAGCAATGACTCAGATATCTGTAGCAGCAATTTTCAAAGCATTAACAGAAATATGAAACATAATTTGCAATCCATTACTATCTCCTAAGACAGTTCTGAAACTATACTTCCTCAGAATTTTGCTCTATTTCTTGATTGTTGATAAATGAACATATATTTAAGAAAGCTGCCTAACAGTTCCTGAAGCAATTTTCCCAAACTGATATTTGATACATTTTGTAACATCAACCTCTGGAGAAATAGTGCTTAATCTTGCACGCTCTCATCTTAATAAAGCAGAACATCTATCTAAGTGTTTTTCTGGATGGTGGCCAGATAACATAAAATCATTACTACCAAGAAAGTGGCTGAATGATTTGCTATTTTGCTATTAACAATATTTCTACTCTTTCTCAAATATGACTTATCTATATGTAGCAAAATACCAGGTTGATTTAGTTCTCTGGTATTGAGATGCTGAATGAGATTACTCCTATATAGGAGTGAGTAGTATCCATCCACTATAAATCCTTATTTGGTAATAATTTTGAATTTTTTAAAAATTGTTTTGAATGAGGCCAAGGCACCTACTAGGTTCCAAGGGGGAGCTGTATCGTTTGTTGGATGGTGATGAAATACTTTAAATATCACTGTAATTAATGCTACTTTCAACATGCCATATTGGCTGAGATCACAGGTGGATTTCACATAATCTTACCACCAGATCACCATGCACTGAACGTGTGAGCGCTTGCACACCTTCAGTGCATGCACATGGCATGTGCTTTGCTCGCATGTGTGGCTCACACGCATGTGCGCGGCTTAGAAAACTTAGCTAAATAGGATGGCATAGTGCCGGGGTGGGTTGGCGGGCCCACCCACAAGTCACTGCTACAGGTTTCCCCGCCACCTGTAAATCGCTGCTACCGATTCACCTGAACCGGTCTGAACCGGCTGAATACCACCACTGACTGAGATGTTTTCTATCTCCTTGTGTTTAATATTTTTTTGAAGGACAAGAAATGCAAAGTAATGCATTTTTTTTCGAGTCCTAACTATTCTTTCCCCCCCACAATGGCTAAATATGTTCAGGAAATAGAGTTTTAGAAAGCATGAATGTCTGAATCTCTGATATATAAAGATATTCATACTTCAAGCCCCTGACCTCCCCTACCCTCAGAAAGATTCCATTATCTTATGACACACCTACAGCTTCAGAAGGGGGAATTCAGTGTTAGAAACCTCTTCTTGTCTTACAAAATAGCTCATGTTCTCAAAATTAGGACAGTACTAACCTTATACTATAGAAAAACACAGGGGCAGTCAATCTGATTAAAAAAAAACATTTGAGAATTTAAAGCAAAACAAACCTGTCACTTTTAAAACAGAATCATTTTCACAGGAAAGCACAGAGGAACCAGCGAGGATTTTCTGAAGAGCAGCTTCGCCAAGGACAGAATGTCATCGGTCTTCAAATGGGAAGTAACAAGGGAGCTTCCCAGTCAGGGATGACAGGATACGGAATGCCAAGACAGATCATATAGTTTAAAACCACCTTTAACTTCTCACACCCACTTGGTAGCATGGCTGACTGAAAACCACATAGCTCATTAATGTTCATGCTGAGATCTGCTTCTAGGTTTTTTCTCTAAGCTTATGTATGTGTGTGGGTGTGTGTATGCAAATATATACATGTGCACACATACACACAATCTTTCAACTGAAATTGTGGATCTGTGTGCTTGTTGCGTGTTAGTTCACATAGCACGCTGACACCATATGATGTTCATTTTCGAACTATGCAAAGACTATTTTTCTGTATTTATTTGCAATTTGTTATTTTCTGTACCCTTGTCTTATTGAACTGCCTATAACTTCTCAGTCCTTTTCTTCTCTACTCTATCCTACTTTCGTCTTCTAAAAATAAAAATAAAATGGGATGAATAACTGCAAAGATGTAGGCTGGATATCTCTTTTGCAGTATCTCTATGCTCTCTGAAATAAATGTTTTAAAAGGAGAGTGAATATGATTTGCCAATATACAGACATAGAGAGAGACACATGGTTTAGCTGATCAAATGTGATTGGGCAAAAAGTGTCCTAAATCAGAATCAGAATTGTAACCTAAGAAGAAGGAAGATCCCCAATCCAAGAAAAATCATTCCAGAAAAAGCTGTAGAATCAGAGGAAGAATTTGGACAATCAAAGCAGGACATTGGTGGGAAGTATGATGTTTATTGGTTCCAGTCATATTCTGCCTTCAACTCTTGAAAGCCAGTTTTTCACATGTAGACAAAGGCCTGATCTATTATAAGGTTTTTTTTTAAGTACCCCTTTAAATTTTGCTGATTTATGCTCAACCCCACTACCATACTTTCTTCTGAATACACTTACCAAATGTTTAGCTTAATCAAAGAATAATTTGGTTATCAATAGCCATTTGGACCAATTACTTATATATATATAAAACAGATGATTTTGACATGGAAAAAACAAAACATTTCATTTAAATTATAACCTTCTCAACTATTATGGTTAAGGGAAGCTTATCCTACCATTAGTCTTCAGTCTAAGAGTCTTTGGGTATCTTTTATTTAAAGTTGAAGGACATTTAAAATATTAAAATGAATAGGATGTTTGCATAATTTATTCTATATTATTTTGCCATTGAATTCGCATGTTACAGCTTTATTACTATCAAGTAAAAGGACTAACACCTTCCCCTGCCATTCATAAACTAAAATTTATAGCATCTTTAAATCAGAATTAAGCTGATTTAATCAATGCTTTTAATTGGAATGGGCTTCCCAAGTTCTTCATTGGTTCTCAAACCCTTTTTTATATTCTTCATTGGTTCTCAAACCCTTTTTTATACCCTATGGTTTTCTTCTTGTATCAGAAGTGTCAAACTTAACTCAGAGGTGGCTGCTGTTTGGGGAATGGCAAAACAAATAGAAATGTACAGTGCCCAAATATTTAACACAGTAGTTCAAAAAAGAAGCACACGTACTTGTGAAAAATACATTATCACCTTATTTGTATTTGACAAGATTCTGTTCTGTGTAATTCTCCTACTCTCTGTTATCCTTTGTCTACCCAAAATATTAATTGCTTACAATGAGCATATTACTGCTGGCTTAAATACATTCAGAAAATTATAATGCACTCAGTGGGATTCTGTTTAATAAAACCTGCATCAAGCTTGATTAACATAAAGGGTTAACTTTTATAAGAGAAATTGGGTCTTGACTATTGGGGGAAGAGGAGTTCAGAATGCTTTACTATGATGATCTCATTTTATGCTTTGCTTTTGTGATTGCATAAGTTGATGTTACTTGTCTTATCAACTTACCTTTTGTAGTAGTTTTACATTGATGCTCAGGTATTCTCATTCTTTTCTCTGGAACTTGAAAGGATGATGAAGATAGAAATATCCACTCCAGCAGTACCCTTTTCCCAGCCAAGGCTAAGGTATGGGAAGTGTTTTGCTTTTTGCATCAAGAGTATGACTATTATGGCAACAGGATCAGGACATTTACACCTGCTTCTAATTATTTATGGTTGTAGGATTCTATCACCTTCTTTTTCACTTTTTACTTTTGTCTGCTTTCAGCTGAACTCATCTATAATTATAATAGGCAGGAAATATAATGAACAGAAATCCAAGATGTACAGTTATCCCTTAAATAGGTGCTCAGGAATACAATATTAGATTGGTATATTGTTATCAAATCTGATTGATGTTTGATGATAGTTGTTTATGCTGATATTAAATGAGTAACAAAAATAACATTAAAATTCTTCATTCTCAGCCTTGTTATACTTTCCCACTCAAAGTAATGTTGGAAAGAAATTATGTAAAGGAGCCCAGAAATCATCCATCTGTCAATCCATCATTCTGAGATTTTGCTGAAAACTGAATCAAACAGTAGCAAATTTGGTGTAGGAGAGAAGTTGGCAAAAGAAATTGTGTCCAAATGTGTATCAAATCTGGCTAGGGACTCTGGAAAAATATTTTATCATCCTCATTATCTTTATTATCAATAACAACAACATCTTCATCATACATAAAAAAACTTTCAGTGCAACAATATAATAGAGCTGGACAATACCTCCAATTCTGTTAAGCTCTCTAGTCTTAGTCCTCATCCTTTCTTCCTTCTGGCTATGTGACTCAAGAGCTAAGACTATGCAATTTATCACATGCTATTCACCACACACATGATGAAATATGGATAGAGTGCAGAAGCACCCAGAGAAATGTAATATATTACATGTATCTCCCATGGCCATTGCTGGTTGAGAAGTTGAAAATAATTCCAAAAGTCATACTCTGAAGCTGGGTTGAATTCCATGCACATCAAAGCTTTTCCTTCCCTTCCCAGAACTTAACCCTAACCCTAATCCTAACCCTAACCTCAGCCCTAACCCTAACTCTAATGGCTTAACACAACTTATTCATGTCACTTAACAAATTTAATATAGTTAATTAATCTATGGAAATATAAGCAGGTCTCTGATAAACTCTTCACTAAGACAAAACATTTCCTTTTGTTTACATTTGCCAATGGAGCCCAAAGCCGTTAGAAATATCTAAACATACTAGACAACTATTATCTGCAACAGTCTTATTTTATATGCAACAGTCTCATTTAACTAGGACGTCATCTGGAAATAGAGCAAAAAAAGATACTCTCGTACTTCTCCCTGGAAGAAGCTTCTTAACTTGTACTCATAGACCCCGTCTTTCCTCTGAGTAAACTAAGTAAAGAATTCCTCAAACTGGACTCAGCTTCTGGAGAGAACTTGGACAGTTTTATGTATTTTTCTAAGCCATATAGAGCACTTTATCATCACCTTCTGTGATTTTACTTTTTATTTTATTTATTAGTAATAACTATTTTTAAAACAGGTGGATAATAGCTTTGCTTCGTTTTACCCTTCAATATCAAAGATAGGGATCTGATTTTAGGAGAAGAAAATGGTAATTCTTTTCTCCTTGCCACTTTATCACATTTTGGATTGAGTTAAATAATTTTGATGGTGGAATGTTTCAAGTTATATTTTGGATTCCTGGTGAATTTAACTTCTATTATATTATCCTTGTCTATTTAATTAGATACCACATTTTAGGTATGGCCAACAAGAGTTCTGACTGAGCATTTGTAATTTCTAGTAAATATTCCCTTAGAAGAAACTGCTGCGAACAAATTGTTGAAGAATTAGGCTTATCACTTCATTGTTGGAATTATTGGTCTTTTAAATTTTTTATTCACTATAAGCTCACGATAGCAAGAAAGGTGATTTAAATTTACTTTTTGGGATGTCTGAAAATAAACAACTCTTAAATATGCTCTGACTTTATTAGTTGCATAGTTTTCAAGGCTCACTACATTAATGCCAACAATGCAAGACTACAATAACTGAAAAGTTCAATTTATAGCAGCCAGATATGTGTTTGTGGCAATGGGCATGCTGGCTGAGTTTATGAAATAAATGACAAATATGAGTTTTTTATTTTAGCAAATATTTTGCAAATCGAGCAGAGTTGACAATTTAGGTTCAATTTCAGTATTCTGAGTTTCTTCACAAAAAAGATTCTTCACTACTACAGACTGAACTGCACAAATATAAGAATTGAGAAATAAAGGAGATTTTGAAACTATTTTAAACTGTTACTGCATAGCTTATTAGCAATTGGGACAGTTTTACTTAAAGAATTATTTTACCCATTCTTCCAAATGAATGGATATGGTAATATTTATGATTAGACATATGGTTTGTGTCCTCACCACAATGCGGTTGTTTGGGGCAATAACCTTGGGTCTCTATGAATGCATCATCTGTGACCTTCAGTAATGTTATAAAATAAAGATCTGATCCTATGTTCAAGCAGCAGAAGTAATAGATATAGTTGCAATTCATTTAATGGTATGATATGACCTTTGTTTCTAATTAGATTTGTCTGGCAGGACTTCTTCGCTGGAAACATCTTCCAGATGTTCTTGTAATTTATTAATTCTAATAGAAAGGATAGTAGCAGAAAAAGCATTATGTTTCATAGTTGAGGCCTGCTATATAGCATACTCTTTCTCGGCTGAATGTTTTCTGTGTAAGCTGACCTCTTAGTGCCATATTTCATAAACAACATGGGTGCATTGGTTGACAATTAAAGCTATTAGGCTTAATATAAAAATTACACTACTGCAAAGCCTGTCATAATGTATTATTCATGAAATATATCTGTTTAAAATAAAATTCTAGAATAAGCATACAATATTTGGGCTACAGACATATGGCTGAACGCTATATGGTGGCAAAGCCTATAGCTTTCTATATCACCTGCTGGCATCTAATCAGAAGGAGTCTGAAGGCAACTTTTTCAACTAGCACATTTTATTAAAAGGCATATATTTTCATCAGTCATTCTATTATATCATTATATCATAAATATGAGTCACTTGACAAGCATCCGAAGTTTGATCACATGACCATGGGGATCAGTAGTGGGATTCAGCCAGTTCGCACCTATTCGGGAGAACCGGTTGTTAACTTTCTAAGCAGTTCAGAGAACGGGTTGTTTGGAAGAAATCTTATTTTGGTTTTTTCCACTTTACAGGGCTAATCCTGTAAGGAAGGCAGGAAGGAAACATTCTGGTGTTGTTCCTAGCCTAATCTTTATTGCCCTGTTTACATAAACTGCCTCTCCAGTTAACCCTTATTACATTGTAACAGTTAAGGCAAAGCGCCCCTCAACATGAATGACATTGAGTTGGCCACGACCCCACGGTCACATGACTACCGAGCCATGCCTACCCAGCTGGTCATTAGGGGTAGAGAACCGATTGTTAAATTATTTGAATCCCACCATTGATGCGGATGCTCCAATGGTTATAAGTGTGAAAAAGGTTGTAAGTCACTTTGTTTAGTGTTATTCTAACCTCAAACAGTCATTAAACAAACTGTTGTATGTCAAGGATTGCCTGTATACCCTTTCTGAAATGGATAGAAAGTACTCCTGGCAGTGCTGGAGCAATCTCACATGATCTCACAAAAGCTCCTTGTTAAATTTTATGGAATTTTTGACTTGGTTGACAGTCTACAGACAACTTGTACTAATTCTGCTGCCCCTAGCATTTCCTGGAACAATATGTCTACCTGGTCCACAGCATCTCTTAAGTCTTAGAAATTATAGGGACATTTGAAGGAACAACAAGAATATCCCAACTTTCCTTTTATAAGCCAGAGATTTAAAGCAGCGGAAGGCGTTCTTTGAGGCGTAGAGACATATTTAATGGTGCTTGACACTGCAAGCTGCTCACCTTGGCATTAAGAAAAAAATACTACAATATATGAAAGAGTCTCCTTCAAGGTATGTTCAACTCTAGTTGAGTATATGGATATATTCATGTACATCTATGGAAGTAGTTTCCTTTGTTCTGTTCTAGGATGTTTGTTTGTTTGGACTTCTCATTGGACTAGCTTATGCCCCTGTTTTTTTCCTGATCATCTTACATCTAACAATCAGGCCCAGATATGGCAAACTGCTGAGATCTCAAATAGATACTTTTCTTTTGTCTCATTAATTTGAGTACATCTTTGTGTTCCCCTCCCTCCCTAGAGATAGATTTTCTAGGATGGAAAATGTTCATTTAGTAAAATGTATCAAAGAATGACTTGATAGTACTGTGAAAAACTTGTTCAATTGCCATGTTTTCATTTAGATTATAAATATGGAAATATGTAATCTTTTTATATTATTGTAAACTAATTAATGCTTCCATTAAAAAAGTTTTACATATTCATAGGTTATTTTCCTTTTTGAAAATCTTCCTTAGGAAAAGAGTAATGTTTGAAATAAGATGAGTTGGCAAATATGCCTTTGAGTTCTGTTGACTGGACGGGGGGGGGGGGATGAGATAGTATAATCAGAAACCTACACGTGCATGCACATGTGGCTCAACTGAAAGTGGAGCTGCACATGCATCTGTGCTGGCCCACCCCTTGTGTGAGTTGCGCTGTGTTTACGCATGCATGCCAGGCCGCCTCTCACACATCCTGGTTCCGAACAGACCACAGCCTGGTAGTAGATTGAGGCCTGGGGGTTGGGCACCCCTATTCAAACAATCTAGAGATAATTATAATTTCATTGGCCTGAAAAAGCCAGCATGGGGAATTCTAGGAGTTGAAGTCCATATATTGGACAACAAAGCTGCCAAGTTTGAGAATTATGGTGCTAAAGCAATCTTTCCTATATTATATTCACGGAGATACAGTATTAGGTTTCTAATTCTGAGAATCGTGGTTCCAAAACAAATGAAAGATTCGAGATTGGAGCAAGCAAACCCATAACAATAAAAGGCATTCTTCTTTCTAAAAATTTAATCCATAGATGGAGTAGAGTCCTCCTTTCCCTAAACTATCACCAAGGCTTTCATCTTCTCTGGGTTCCAAAGTCTTCAGCCAGTCTATCACTGAATCTTGGCATTGAGTTTTTTAGTGATCGCTTCACAGAACTGATACCTGACTCTGCATGCTTGTATTATTGCAATTTGATTGTGCACAACAATCAGTTCCCCTGCTAAAAATTTTAAATTGGTAACAGCTTTTATATGAACATTAAAATATTTGTTTTTTTAACTCTCAAGATCCTTTTTCAGACAACAATCATACATTTATTTTAGCAAACGGTGAAAAGTGATATCTTAAATGGAGCTGTGGATATCTTTTATGTTTCTGAATAAATTCTGACTAAGAGAAAGATTTTGGCTATTTATGAGCCACTGTAGAACTGCAAAGTTACTGTTTTAAATCCCATGTGCTGCATGTTCATAATAGGTTATGCTGCGAAAGCAGACAGTCTGTGTCATATGAGGAGCCCCTTAAGAATACGAATCTAAGATTTTCTGCAGCTTGAGTTCCCAGTGGATTGCCTGCTTTAGATGTAAAGATATAAAAGGTGTTAGAGCGGGTGAATGGATGAGGCAGACTCAGGCTAACAGTAACAACAGCTCTTTATTAGTCAACACTATGTACAATCCAGCAAAGACTCTGTCTGGTAGCAGCCCTTTTATAGGGAACTGTCAGACGTCTTAACCAATCACCTTTGAGTATTTTCCTGCCAGATCAGAGACCTTGGTGGAAACTACCATACTGTTTATCAGTATGTAACACCCCTCCCCTCTCAGACGGGCTGATCTAGCTGGTTATGTACTCACGCAGGTAGGCGGGTTTTCTGGTGACTCGATCTGACCTGCATAATTCAGTTTGTGCTGAAACCTTGGACAGGTCGGATGGGCCTGCTGTCTCTCTGGCTTTGCCTGGTGGAAGCTCCTGGAACTTTCCAGGAAGCAAATGGAGTTTCTGGAGCTGCAGCCCTGCAACCTCATCAGATAAGTACCCTGGTACCTTATGAGCCAAGGTGGCGCAGTGGTTAGGGTGCAGTACTGCAGGCCACTTCAGCTGACTGTTATCTGCAGTTCAGCGGTTCTAATCTCACTGGCTCAAGGTTGACTCAGCCTTCCATCCTTCTGAGGTGGGTAAAATGAGGACCCGGATTGTTGTTGGGGGCAATATGCTGACTCTGTAAAACCGCTTAGAGAGGGCTGAAAGCCCTATGAAGCGGTATATAAGTCTAACTGCTATTGCTATTGCTATTGCTATTGCTATCTCTCTCTCTCTCTCTCTCTCTCTCTCTCTCNCATTGCAGGGAATAAATGAAAATAATTATGTCCAATGGTCTCTAGGCACTTCTTTTGGACATTGAGAGCTGTGTTTAATTTTGTTTTCTAATTGAAGGAAATAAATCAACCGAAGAGCATATATGGTAACTTCTGGGATCTCCCCATCTTTAGGAAGGATCATTATTTGTATAGATACTTCACATATTAAAACAATAAATAGAACAATTTACTCTTGGAATACATATAGCCCATTGCTGGAATCCCAGAGTTCTTTCGCTGGCTCTCTCTGTGCTTCCAGTGTCCATTAAGAGAAAATGGATTGAAAAATGCTGACATGCAAACAGTCTCTTAGCTTATCTTCCTTTAGTCTTTCACTGACATGCTTTCCTTAGAGGTCACACAGACACGCACTGTAAAAGACTACCTTTTAAAAATGTGAGTCACAAAGGAACCACTGCAGGAACAAAGAGTATGGTAGTTGAGCAATCCTTACATTCTGTTATTCCTTTGTCATAATATTCCAGATAAATATTCATGTCTACCAGTGAGAACTAGAAGCACGATCATGTTAAATCAAAATTAAAATCTCGCCCCAAAAATGACATATTCTTTGAAAAATAATGCCAATTGACTGAAATTTTACAGTCACCAAATTGAAAAATGCAAGAAATGCAGGAATATAAACGAGTTATATTTAGATATAACATATGTATAAACCTTTACTACAGTTAGTAAAGTTTTTCATCAATTTTGTTCTTAAGCTTTAAAAATATTAAACTATATAACAGTCCTGGATGTTCCATTTGATTAAATTCTCTTGTTTGACTTGCATTTAGGAATGCCTCTTATGATAGATTTTATGTGAATCTTCTTTATGTGCTGGGAAAAAAATAGTTCCACAGTTATGGCTCTTGGCTTCTCTTGTTTATTTCTTTATTTTACTTTGAATTAGAATGTTGTTACTACTACTATGTTATGTTTAGTCAGATATTATTTATTGCCATTATATAGAAGAGTTTATGCCTCTTAAGGTCTCAGATTTATTCACTATGTACTACCTATAGTATTGAGTACCAAATGAACTTCAATACAATCTTCACTGAATCTCAGTAGATACCTAGGGATAATTATACAATGTTTTTTATGGAATCCAGTTACTTTTTATTTATTATTATTAATTTATTATTACATTTATATTGCCGCCTATTCGCCCATGGGGACTTTTACAGGAATGAATATCCAGTAGGTAGATCCACAAAGTTTATGCACATCCTTGGTTTTTTATAGTAACCCAGGCCAGTCTAGTTCACA